CGCGCCGAGGTGTTCCGCTGTCAGCACACACACACACACACACACACACACACACACACACACACACAACCACTGAAGGAACATGGAAACACATTCGCACAGAAAGCGATAGGTTCAGTCCACGTTCTTGGGAATGTACCTGCATTCCAGCATCTGACTAGAAGCCAGCTGTAAATAAGAAGGCACAGCAAGTATTCACAGGCATCCTCCCTACACATGCACACACACACACACACACACACACACACAGAGAGAGAGAGAGAGAGAGAGGGCGGGAGAGACAGAGCAAAACTGAAACACAACGGGCTGCACAGTGAATTTTTGGGGTTTCTGTTTAACAGTAAGTGACGTTTGGAGCCTTCTGTCTCTGCTGAAATGAGAACAAAAGATGTCAAGAAGACTCGCAGTCGTGTATCATTTCAGGAGACATAATACTGAATTACATGCATTTACTGGAGACTTACCCGAACTCGCTGCTTGCCTTAAACTTCACCCTAAAACTTTATGGTTTACTTTATGGGGACTTGGTTTTTGTCCCCACAAGGAAGGCAATCCCCCACACCGTGACTGTGTAAATAGATTGGTAACACCCGTACACACAAGCGCACACACACAAACGCATGGATTTCCACAAGAACAATTAATCCTTATACCAATGGCATAATAGAAATGTGCAAAAACATCATGATACTTGACAAACCGCCGGTCTTTTTTAAATTCTAATATCTTGTTTCAGCTTCTCAAATGCAAATATTTACAGTAATGTGAAAAATTGGAAAAACTGAAAAATGTGGGGTTTGTACTGTTGGTTAGACAAAACGTATGAACAAGGGTTCTGGAAAACTGTGGTGATATTCTGACGATATTTCCGTTGTTGTTTTGATGAATTTGGACAATCGGTAGACGAATTGACAGTGCATACATCCAGTTACACATTTTGTTCTTCAAGCTCTGTTCTTCAGCAAATTGTCTGAAATGAAATAAGTCCCAAAGCAGAACTGTGTGTGAAACCTGGTCATTTTAACATATAGTACACAAAGTTTAAAAGTAACCACCATGATTGACAGATGGCGTATGAGCAAGCCTATCGGTTTATCGCCACATTTTATTTTTTCCATTATTTTGATAGAGGTTGGTTTTTGATCCATCAGTCCACAGCACTTTGTTCCACAAATTTACTGGTTTCTTTTTGTTTTGTTTTTTTTGTGAACTGCAACCTGCTTTGTCTGTTTTGAAGGCTCACCAGGGGTTTGCATCTAATGATCAATCGTCTGAGGTTATGGTCGTTGACAAGGAAGCATGTAGGCCTACATTGTGGGGAGCGTCCTTGAATTCACCATACAAATTCTTTTCCAGTCTTCCAGAAGAGCTGTGCTCCTTGGTTTAGCAGGCTGTTTAGTTTCCTGTTCTGACGAACCTTTGATATGTTTCTCACTCTCTCTCAGCTATTGAACAGCTACTGAATAATATGTAACCGAGCTTTGGCAGTAATGTGACATCAGCACGGACACAGTTAAAACTGACTTGATTCGTTTTGAGAAGAAGAGATCAGCGTTACCACTTGCTTATTGAGGCTATGTGGTGCTGCCCTCTTCTGGACAAGGAGCAATACTGATGATCACTGACGTTTCTTCGGTATTTCAGGTTTATTTGACCAAATAAATAATTAAGTGAAAATAAAAATAAACCCTCGTCTTCTGGATTTTGTATCTCTTGGCTATCATCACCAAATGTAGTTTTCATCTAGATGGCATAAATGAACTAGAGAAGAAGCCTCAGTCTCATCATTTTGTTTCATAAGTCCATTCATGTTTTCCAGTAGGCTATGCAATTATTGACACAGCCTACTTGACAGCACGTGATCACAGAATAATACAATTTAACAACATGCATGTTACATAACTGTTTTACTAACTTAACCTGTAGTGAAACACAAATGTCACCGAAATGCGGTATGACCGACTAGTGACCCGACCTCGGAACCAGAATCCAGGACCCATGACCAGCACGCCGAGAACCAGTATGCCGAGACAAGGAGAGTATGAAGAGGTCGCTGAAGAAACCCAGAAAAAGATTCTGTATTTCCATAAGTGGGGTAAAACTATGGAATAATTTAAATGTGGACATAAAAAATAGTAATAGAATTGACGAGTTTAAACATAAATATAAAGGTATGTGTCAATCAAGATATATGCAAGAACAGGTTTAACGATTAATCAGGTGTAACATTGTGGGTGTGGTGTATGAATGTTAACACTCTGTAATAATTCTTTAGTATATTACTTGTGTGGTGTAGAAGAGAATTATTTATGTAGAGATACTGCTTGCAAACCAATGATGTAAGATGATGTCATGGGGTAGGACTGGATAAGTCTGACTTCTTCCTACTCCATTCAAGCATGTACTAGGTATAAGCAAATTGATATTGGATTAGCATTTGTTGGATATGTGTAAAATTATGTGTGTTGATATATCAACTGTCTTTACATGCTTGGAAGAATAAATCAAATCAAATCAAATCAAAATGCCAGCAACAAAATCTATTCAATCTGAAGACCCACATCTCAGAGGATCTGTCCTGGACCACCAACACCTGCAGCCTCATTAGGAAGGCCCACCAGCACCTCTTCTTCCTGACGACACTGAAGATGAACCACCTGTCTTCATCCATCCTGGTGAACTTCTATTGCTGTGCCATCGAGAGCATCCTGACCAGCTGTATCACAGTCTGGTATGGAAACTGCTCTGTCTCTGACCACAAGGCACTGCAGCAGGTGATGAAAACTGCCCATCGCATCACAAGGACTCCACTTCCAACCACTGAGGGTGTCCACAGGGAACACTGTCTCCGACATGCTCGCAGCATTCTCAAGGACTCCTCTCACCCTGCTCACAAATTGTTTGACCTCCTGCCCTATGGGAGGCACTTCAGGAGCCTCCAGACCAAAACCAGTAGACTCAGGAACAGCTTCTTCCCCACAGCTGTCTCCTTACTGAACTCTGTCCTCGTTGACTCCCCCACTGCCTTCTTCTATACCACTACACACACCTCAACCCTTCTCATCTCTCCTCCTCAGACTAAGTGAGAGGAGACATTTTACTGTCTGTAGCTAACTGTTGCATGTTGTCAGAATCAGAATCAGAATCAGAATCAGAATCAG